GCCTGGTGACTCACACGTCATCACAGAGACAAGGAAGCTACTCCTCTTCCTTTCCCAACTTTCAGGGCAGCAACTAGTATTCACATGAGCCAGAGGCTGAAAATTCAAAAGGGAAACTCTCTAGATCCTTCTTCTGCCCCAAGATATAGAGGTTGTGTGCAGGTATCTGCATGTGTGTGAGCGTGGTTTGTGACCTGTGTGTGATGTTGATGGTGGGGGAGGATGTACTTGGGTGGGTACAGAGGGTATATAGGAACTCTTCGTACTTTCCACTCAATTTTGTTGTGAATTTAAAACTACTCTAAAAAAGGAAGTCTATCAATGATGATAACTATAAAGAACAATAGATAAAACCTAAGCAATCCTGAAAAACAAATAGACTTTAATTAATAATAATGTACCAATATTGTTCATGAGTTGGGACGAACTTACCATAATAATTTAAGAGTTTAATAGGGAAAACTAGGTGAAATGTGAAGTATAGAATTATCTTTATAACTTCTCTGTAAATCTAACAGAGGAAAAAGTTGTAAGAAAGAGAGCATTAGAGCAGAGAGGGAGGGAGAGAGAGTTTTGCCATTTATCAGTGTGTGGCTGCACTGCCTCATTTATAATAAAATCAGTAGGAGTGGGCTCCACATAATTCTTCTCTAATTGTCTGTGACACTGTGTCTGGCTTGCCTAGGCCTCAGCTCCACATCTGTCCCATGAGGATCCCGGACAGACTATACTCCTCGGGTTCTTGTGAAACAGAAGCCAATGTGCCCCTACATGTGGGATCTCCAGGAGTTAGGGATCCCTCATCCTGGGAGTGTGGGGAGGTCGTGGGGGCTGTGGCAGCTGGAATCTCCCATGAACTGCCTTGACCAGGACCCCAACTACCCTGAAGTTTTCTGTGGGCACTGGAAAAGTTTACTATTTTCTAAGTATATCGAGATCTGAAGAAACATTTGGGGCAAAGCCATCTCATAGTGCCTGGCAGAGTTTGAGTCTCATCAGGAATGACCCTTCATTGCTCTCCATGGACACCCATGAAGGCCTGGGCAGCAGGGCAATGACACCGTCAGAGAGGAGGTGGCCTGTGAGCTGGGCTTGAGGGATGAGGGTGTTTTCAGACACAATGGGACTAGAAGGCATTCCAGGTACAGGGAAGAGCAGAAGCGAGGGCAGGATGAGGGCAAAGGCACATAGTATTTAAGAAATGGTAGGTGAGTGTTTCAGTGTGGCCAGATTGCATTGTGTGTGTGTGTCTTTGTGTGTGTTTGGGTCTGTGTGTGTATATGTATATGTGTATGTTTGTACCTGTAAAACAGGGTGAAATGACAGGATGAGCCAGGCAGGAAAGTGCTCCACAGCCTGGTCTTATCTTGCGTCCCCCTGTGTAGAAGGGACGGATCCAGGCAGAAATTGAGACTGGAGCCATAGGAAGTGTGTCGTGTTACCTGCCTAAGCCTAGGAAAGCACTTCTCCGAGAGTTCCTGGAGTCCATGGGACTCCTGGTAATTATGCTCTGTGTTCTGAGCTGCAATCTTCCTCCAGAAAGAATTTGCCTGAGAAACAAGTAACATTTTTCTATTTGCAGAAGACCACCCTGCTTGATATCTCCCAGTTGAACAAAGCAGCTTTGTTTTGCCCATGTCCAAATTATCCTAGAAAACAGCACATGCAGAATGCTGGTTTGTGGAGGTCAGGTCTCCATGGGGTGGTTGCAAGGACAATGCGCATGGACCCCGGGTGAGGCAATTTTACAAAACAGGCTTGGAGTTTCAGAAATCTCCATACCTCTTGGTATTCATGTGGAGACTGTTCAAACCATGGAATGAACCAGTCAACATCCATAGCTCTGTAACTGGAATTTTCACACTGATAGATTGTGGGTGCAGTACAGTCACAGTCACAATTTATTGCCACAGCACTACTTTTAGAAAATGCGGATTAGGTACCCACCAATTTCATTTAAACTGATCTGGATTTGGGTGCATCTTTTAAGAAATCAGAAAGTCTGTCAATATTGAGCCCCACTCCACATATTCTCAATGCGAGCTGACTGTTGACCTTTAGAGAGGCAGAAACTCTCCAGCTTGCCACAGTCCACACCATTCCCTAATGTCCATTCCAAAGTCATAGGTCAGTTGCAAATTATTATCCCACTTGTACTACTGTGTTTTTATAGCTAAGTTAATTAAAAAGTGAACAATTTAAGACCCCATTATGAATCAAAACTGTTCTGCTTCAGCTTAAGTTAATAGCTCAACCTATAAAAAAAATTTAGTCTGCAGGCCTAAATGAGGTACAGTTATTGTCACCACACTGTAGATGAACAAATAGAAGTTCAGAGAGGTTAAGAGGTTTGAGCAGCATCACACAGCTAAACAAAGGCTGTGGGATTTCACCTAGATCATACTCGGATGAGAATCTGCCTATAGCAAGTTGATCAGAATAAGCTCCTTGCATGTGACCTGAAAATGAACATTTTCAACAGAAATCTCTATATCATGAATTTGTCTCTTCCTGCCACTCGGTGCCTATAAATTCCTCTGTCCACCCAATAACATCAGATGTCTCAGTAAAGACAGAGAAGTTAATGGGTTCATTTTTGCCAGGTTTAATTATTGTAGTTATTGCTATTTTACTTCCTCCTCAGACCACTGCTGGGGACCTCATCCCATCAAGGAAGGTCTTTGCACAGCTGAACTGTCTTCTTATCCTGGCCTCTGGGTAAAAAGGTAAGGGCTCGGAGGAAGCAGGTGCGAAGGCACACATGCAACCACCTTGTCACTGGATTCTACTCACCACTTTCCTTGCAGAAATTGGCTTTCCCTAAAGGGGCATAGCTTCGAGGAATTGTGAGTAGAGCTCCACAGGTATGTGAGCTGTAAAACCCTGGGGGCTCGAGCCCCTGCATAAGTGGCTGGCTCTGCCTTGCACCACAGCTGAGACAGCTGCAAGCCTGCTTGCTTATTGTGCATCTGGATCCCACTGGCTCTGCATACTCACAACAAGGTAAGAGCTTCCCTCTCTCAGGAGCTTCATTACCTGCTTCTGCTTCTCATGCCACCCAATGTCCTGGTGTCCTTGGATCTGGATTCCAACCTTGTGGACTGATGACAATTGAGTCCCATTGCTGTGAGAAGTGAGGGGGTCTTCATCTGGCATACCCAGCCTCCTGTCCTACCATTCATTGCTTTAATTCATTCTGCTGTCACTGTCTTTCCGTTTCCCAATCCTAGGAGGTGGAGTAGAAATGAGACCAGGGCCATTTCCTGAGAATATCTTTTTTTTTTCATGCAAAATTCTGTGTTTTCTTTAGATGGAGCTCCTATAGTTTGAATCATCTAATCATCAAGAACTATACCAAACTAGACTGGAATAGTTCATAGATGTTTTTCTTATTTCTTGCCAATGTTATCTGAAGGGCTGAATAAAGGTGAAAAGCAAAACGTGATCAATGAAGGGTGATAGAGAACAGACAGATATAGTCTGGCTGCTCATACCAGCTTTGTGACTTGTCCACCAGGGGTCTAAGCATTAACTGCCACAGCAATTACCTGGGGGTGACATATTAATAGCTACCTGTCAGGGTTATTGGGTGGATTTAGTGAGGTGAGGATCAAATGTTTGGCCAGTGCTTTACACAAAGTATCAAACTGAAATTAACTTTTCTTGTTCATTTCAGCATGGTTTTTGCTGTCCCCCTGATAAAATTTTTTTTTTTTTTTGTCTTTTTCTGTGTCCGGCAACGGATCGCAACCCTCAGTGTTGCCCCCGTACCGGACCAGGACCGGCAACGGGATCGCAACCCTCGGTGTTGCCCCCGCGCCTCGCTCAGCCAGTGAGCGGGAACCGGTCTGCATGTGGGATCCGAACCCTCGGCAGGAGCGCCACCGCGCTTCCCAAGCGGCGCACTAGCATAGTGCGCCACCGGGCCGGCCCCACCCCTGATAAAATTGATGTAGTTTAGTGATACATGAAAAATGATGTAGTTTTGCTGTCCCCCTGATAAAATTGATTGTAGGTATTCCTATTGATTCACTGATTTCTTTCCAAAAGCATTAATTAAGGGCTTTCTGTATGCCCAGCACTGTGCCACCACGGAGCTTCAGAAATCAATTAGGCATGATCTTGCCTTCAATCCTCTAATCTAAATGCTCCATTTGAAATTCACCCCTCCTCTGTCTGGTTCACCTTGCACAGTCAAATCTGATGAAATTCTCACCTTCGTGCCTTTTCTCACACTCTTACTTCTTCCCACAGTGCTCCTCCCCCCAAACAACCCACCCACCTCTGTGTGTTAATTCCCATGAATGTTCAAACCCTGGGTCAACATCACCTTTCTTCATGACATTCACCACACCTTTCCCATTTTGTGGTCATCAGAGTCCATGTGGAATTGTGAGATAGAAATCCAGCATGTTGTAGCTGGAATAGAGAATAGAGATTATTTCTTCCAACCCCTTAATTTGCAGGTATAGGAACTGAGACCCAGAGGAGCAGAATGACTTGTCCACAATCAAGTTAGGGACAGTGATGGGACAGACGCACTGGTCAACACTATTTAAATTCTCCAGATAGTAGCCTCTAAGATCTTTAACATTTGTGGTTTCTCATTAACTTCAGTATGTTCAACACTTAGTCTAGTGCATGGCATGTAGTAGGTGCTCAATAAAAGCTTGCTGAATGAGAATGAGGAGTGAGTAAATGCAGCAGTAAATGGGTGAGGCCAGGAGGAGTGAGAGCTAACGAGGCTCAGAGAGTGTAAGGAGAGGATGAAGGGTGGTGGTGCTGTGACACTGCAGACTGAAGTCAAGGGGAAATGTGAGTAGTCAGGCTGCTGGTCTAGTGAATCCAGGAGCCAGAAGGATTCTTGGTCTACTCCTAAATCAAACAGGCATGTGATAGGATGGTGGGAAAGGGCAGCCTGCAGTCCTGCCCCACTGAGCTGCTGCTGGCACTGACTCACTCATCTGCCTTTTGTCAAACAGGTGCCTCCCAGCTGAGCCATGAGGATCCACAACCTCACCCTGCTGTCCTTCCTCCTTCTGGCCACTGAGGTGCTCTTGATGCATGTCCAAGAGGGAGTAAAGTTAGGACAGGGCAGAGCACCAGACTTGGATCACTGGGTCACTGGAGGCTCCTCTGGAATCTGGGCAAAAGACCACTCATCTGAGTTTGTGCACATATCTGACTTCACGACTGAAGATCAAGCTAAGTGCGAGGGACGTCTGACTGAGAAGGGGTACGGCATCATTGCATTAAAGGTCGATTGCACTAGAAAAAACAATCAGTTCTCCTGTGTCTTCATGGGCAATACAGCTTCATGCCTAGAGTTTTTGGAGCACAAACTTGACTACTTGGGAGAAATTATCAGGAGCCTGAAACTCCAGAATAACATCTGTGGGGACTCCACAGCCATGCTGATGACCAGTGTGTGTGGTAGCAAGTTTGAGGAATCCAATCTCAAGCTGGTGAGCTCCACTCTACTCAACCACTAGAATCCAGGCGGGATTTATCCCACCCACCAGGAGCAGATCAAGATCAAACTGCACTCCACTGCTGAGTTCATTCCATTTAAAGAGACCACCAGCACAGAGTCAATAAAGAGTGAACTGACCAACCCCAGGGAGCAAATCCTGGTGACAGAGACCACACCTACCAACTCAGCACACACACAGACCAGGTCTACCAATAAACCCCACTGCAAAGATTAACCAGGTAACCAAACCTGGCTGAAAATGGCCCAGAAGAAAGTCCAACAGATGGATCAGCAGACAGACCAAGAGATGGAGAAGTAATGTGGGAGTCCTGGAGCTCTTTCTGCAATATCATCCTCTCCATATCACAGAACATGTAAAGGTAATTGTGTTAAGAGAACAGGGACCTTAGGGCAGTTCACATCATAAGCCCTTCTGTAGGCCGTAAACTTCTCCACGTTCCCCAGAAGGTATGAACTTCTCTGCTGTGAGAGTGCAGTGAGACATCTTAACATTTAAAACCATAAAAATGATCTTGTTGTTTTTGTGTTTGCGTTTTGGAGTTTGCTTTATATTCACTTTCTTGGATGTGATGCTCACAGGCTGCTTACCTCAGCATGTGTTTCCAGAGTTCTGACAGCTGAGTCCACAGGCTTGACGAGACCTCTTTGCTGACTCAAGTCAGAGCTGCCCATTCCCCGTCACATGCAGAACCCCTGCCCTTGCACGACTCATTGCAAAATGGGGGAGAAAGGCCTGGCCAAGTACGGTGCTCTGTAATAAGGGCTGTAGTAGGAGGAGAAAAGCTCCACGGAAAGCCAGAGAGAGTAGACAGAAGCTTCTGGAAAATCGGGTTCGACTTCACAGAGGAGGTGACACTGGAGCTGGATTTTGGAGAGAAGTTCTTTAGCTGTGAAATGGAGCAAAGTGCAAGCACTTTAGGCATATCACAGCATGAAGGAAAGCAAAGAGATGTGAAGGTCTCAGAACCTGGGAGAGGTCGGACAGGTGATAGCATGGGATGCAGGGATGAGGGTGGTGTTAGTCATTTACACACTAGTATGAAGAATCTGTAAGTGTTTTAGTTCAGGAGTCGGAAAGAGTGGATAAATTGTTCTCAATGTATCACCACGATTCCACAAAGAGGGGAGAGGGAGGAGCAGGAATTGGTAAAATCATGGTTCTTTAGCATCCGTGATGGTGCCAGGGTGAAAGGGCAGGTGGCATGAAAGGACATCCTTTTAGACTCACTAACATACCAGGACATACACTGCGGGTTGTCAGTGGCCAATCCACAGTGCAACAGCCTCAGAGTGATACTCAGTGTCATCATGAACATCACAAATCTAACATTTATCTGTCACTGGCTGTGTGCCAGGCACTGTGCTAAGCTCCTCCCATGGATGGTACATTTGTTCATTTACACACTCACTCATGCATTCACTCATTTCACAGAGGATTTATGGAACACTGACTTCTGCCAGCCTGTGCTCTCAGTGCTGGAAATATAACAATGGATGCCCATGAGATGGATACTCTGCCCTCATGGAGCTTAACAGTGGGGAAAGTGATGATAAACTGACAGTTATACAAGAGTAAGAGAAGAAATTAAAGCAAGACATAAGAGAAAAGTGAATAAAAAAATAAAAATAAAATAAAACCAATGAATTTAAATGGGTTTATCAAGGGAGTCCTCCCTATGGAGGACACTGTTGAGTCTAGACCTAAATGAAGGAATTGAGACAGGTGACTCTCTTTTGTAAGAATATATCAAACAGAGGGAGCTCTCAGAGCAAATGTCCTGAAATTATACTTAATTCATTTATCTTTCCTATAAGCTCCTACTATGTTGTAGGTAATCTTCTACAGTCATGAAATAGCAGCAATAAAAATACGAAAAGAAAACCCCCTGTCTTCAAGGGACTTACTTTCCAATGACTGGGATCATGCTTAGCAAGTTAGAGAAGAGTCAAAGATTGGGGTGTCATTGTAGGTTGGGACCCAGGGCCTGACCTGTGAAACTTACTGCCAACCCCAAGACAACTGAACGCATATCCCAGGCCCTCCCCAAGCTCCTTCTAGTCACAGTAAGTGAAGGACATTTTCCCTTAAGGTCTACACAGAGTCTCAGCCTTGTGGCCCCATATTCAACTGTATTAGTCCATTTGTGCTGCTTATAACAAAATACCTGGAACTGGGTGATTTATAAAGAAAATGAAATTTATTACTTCCAGTTTCTGAGTCTGGGAAGTCCAAAGTCCATCTGGTAGCAGTGACAGTGACTCAGGGGTCTCGCATTGCAAGATGGTGGAAGCAGAGAGAGCAAAAGGCAGACTCTCCTCTTCTTTTAAAGCCCTCAGAACCATGCCCCTGACCATCATTTTAAATCCATTCACTACTGTATGGTCCTACAATCCAATCACCTTTTCAAGGCTCCACATTTCACTTACCAAATAGGATTTCCAATCCTCTTAGCAGTCACAGTTTCTAATATATAAAATTTTCTAATACATAAAACTTGGGGGACACAATTCAAGCTTCAGGGAGTTTTCAGGGGACATAATTCAATCCACTACATCAACTAAATACAACTCAATTAAACATGGCCCTAATATAGAAAAAGACTGATAAACTCTTCCAGGGAGTATTAAATAATAACTTTGTTCTCATACGGGTTGGCATAAACATTGCAGAACCCAACCATCCCAAAGCCTCCTAAAGATCCTTTCTAGCTCGTGAGGTTGCTCCTTCTAGTTCACTCATGGTCTTGGCTATGGGCAGAACTGGGAAGAGCTTTGCCTTCCAACATGGCAAACTCAGCTGCACCTGGGCTAGTGGTTTGCCTGTGCAGATAGCTAAACTGCCTCTGGAACAATTATTTAACCTTCTGGTCACCAATCATCTCATCTGGATAACAGCATAATAAAGTGCATCATTAAGGGTTAACTGGAAGACTGACATAGGTCAACACTGCCGAAGCATTTATTATTACTGCAACATAAATAGTTGATGCAACACACATGATCATTTAGAGCCTGCAACATAAACCTGGACAGAGAAAGGAGGTCAAAAATTTTCCTGTGAAAACTCCTTAAAGATAGGGGTTTTGGGTTCTTTTCCCCTTGGACAATACATGAACAGGAATCATCATTACTGGTCACCTGCTAGTTGCCAATGACTTTGCGCTATTCTCTTACTTAGCCCCCCTCAAAAATCCTCTCTTGCAGGAGTTCTGATTCTCACTTTCTAGATGAGTGAACTGAGGGTCAGAAATGTGGAGAAACTTGTCAGTGTCATGAAGCCAATAGGAGTCAGAACCTATAAAAAGATTCCTTGGTCTAGAAGTCCGCCAGATTTTTCTGCCTTGAAAACTCCTGATTTTCTCCACTTTATGAGAGAAGAGTAACATTTATGGTCTTTAGACATGGGCAAACCTGATAGGGCACAGAATTCATCATTCTCTTTTATGTATGCATCCCTTTCCATGTCCTTACAGAGGAAAGTTCTAGAAGCTAACACTTTCATTCTGCTCAACCTTCCATCAAAGTCACATCCTGAGAGAATGTTTTGAAAACATAAAAAGAAAAAGAAAAAGAAAAAGGAAAGAAAGGAAGAAAGAACAAATGAATAAAAGAGAGAAAGAAAGAAAAAGGGCACCACAGATTTTCTGTTAGCTTCTGTCCAAATTGGTGCTATATATTTTTCTCTGTTAGGACTTTCTGGATAGCAAGTGAAAGAGCCAGCTGTGTATGTCCGTGTGTGTGTGTAAGACAGAGATAGAGAAAGAGAGGGAGACAGAGAGAGGGAGGGTGGGAGGGAGAGAGAGAATGTGTGTGGTCCTTAAGGAATGACTGCCCTCGATAGCAATAATAAGTAGGAAGCTTTCAGAGTGTGTGAAGTGCTGAAGGTTGACAGGTCTGCATCTCAGAAAGCTTCGTAGCATTGGACACATCTCTTCTCCTTCATAAAGCCACATCTCAGCACCGACTCTGTGGTAACTCAAACCAGATCAGTGCTAGCTTGAATCTCTGGAATACAGAACATGTCACTTTTCCATCCGCCTATCCACCTTCTTCCCCAAACTCTCTCCTAATTGTTTTTGGCAGAACAAGCAAAGGTGCCCTCTCATTAGCTTCAGGTCATTCCATCAATCTTTGACTTTCCTTGGCTTGTAGATGCACCTCTTCAATTCCAGCCTCTGTCATCATGTGGAGGTTTCCCCTGCATGTCTGTGTGCAAATCTTTGTCTTCTTAGAAGGACACCAGGTATTGTATTAGGACCCATTCTCACCCAGTATGACCCCATCTTAACCTGATTACATCTGCAAAGTGCTGATTTCCAAATAAAGTCTCATTCTCAAAATTTACATGAATTTTGTGTGTGTGTGTGGGGGGGCACCATTTAACTTAGCACAATCATCCAATAGCAACAGCACATAGTCCAATGATACAGAAGTGGGATTGGAAGATAGCAACTTTGTACATCACAGTTAAATTAGATCAACAAAGTTGAAAGAAACAGAAGATGATTTAATTAGGCATACACCCCTACAAATTAGGTGTTTGTGTCTATTTATGAACATATTAAAACCCAATGCTTGTTTACATTTAAGCCAGCAATGCCCAGTTTAGCTACACAATGGAGTCATCTGGTGGAACATTTTAAAAACTCTGATATCTGGGTCCCACCCCTATAGATTATGATGTAATTGATCAGGGATGGGGCCAGAGCTTGCGGATTGTTCAATTCCACACAGTGTTTTCCATGTGCAACCAAGGTTGAGAAACTCTGCTTCAGATTAATTAAATTAGAATCTCTGAGGTATATTCCAGGCAGCAGTAGTTTTGCTTAATTCCCAGACAATTCTCATGTGCAATCTGTGTTGAGAACTGCTAAACAGCATCTGTATGCATTCTTTCCTCTTAACAAATACATATTTAACATCTACTATGACCCAAGCATCGTGCAAGACACTGATGGGTATGGGAGGGGATGAGCTAACAGACTAGGTCCCACCTCC